GTGAAACGATCGAGCTGTTGATAGTCTTAATTACTCTACTATTCAGCCAGGTCGGTTGGTGTTCACGGAGTCGTTCGGGTAAATGTCTGCTCGTGCGGCCAAATAAAAATTTCTACTAATAGCGCTTTAAAGTACGAAGTTCCGTCCGTTCCGTGGTGCATAGGCAAGCTCGAATCGATTTGTTACCCAAATAGCCGCAAATAGTTGAATGATAATCTATCTCTTTTCTTCTGGATCTCCAGGTCATTTTGTTTCTCTCACTTTTTCTGTTTTTTTCGTCTTATTTTGTCCAGCTGGAAGAAATCATGCGCACGATACACATGCAATCCGCGCACGTGTTGCGTCTGTGTCGAGAAAAAATTGCTCAGGTGGGTTGCTCATTCTCACATGTCGTTTTTCTCGCTTATCTATAGTGGTGGTACTTGTTACTGATCTTTTGACTGTCTCGAAATCTTTTTGATTGCCTTTTTATTGCACGATTAACCAATTAGCCTGGGCTACAGTAAAATGGGGTTCGGGTTCGATCAATGAACTGAAACTTTTTTCTTTACGGATGCCACATTGATTCGACTCCTTATATGTAGTCACCTAAAGATCTTCACCATTCTATTTTTTCCATTACGTCCTTCTTTTTAGTCTGACGAATAGTAGACGAAGAAAACCTCATAGTCACGAGAACCTGCTGTTCGGTGATGGAGATCGGCACATGGAGTTGCGAACCACATAAGGCCCCGATAGGTTAGACGTAGTATTGAACCAAATGACCACCAAAGTTGGGTGGCGATGGTGGGGCTCGAACCTCATACCATAGGGTCCAAAGTACGCCGGTGACAGTGACGAAACAACTACGCCACCACCATTCGGTTTCAACCCCCGGAAGTCAGTGCTCCCATGTGTGTGTTTTGGTCGGTATGTAAGCTGCATACTGAAATACCGTTGGCTGTTCACTGTCTTTCGGTTGTCTCATGAATTGCTTGCACAAGTTATACAACACAATACAATGCAAATTCAGTTCGTTTACACATTCACAATCAGTAGCAAAGACGGTCACCGCTTTGTACATCTACCATTTGGTCCCTGTACGAAAGAAAACGTTACACTTGCGTAAACCTAGGTGAACATGGTTGGGTCATCTAGATGTTCCGAAGAGGATATTTGTTATAATCGTTCCACCAAATTATCAGTATATATTCAATCATTCTGCGTAGACTGTGTGCACTCGGTTGTTTGTATCTCCTAATACCGCCTCCGACGATGTGTCTACTGCAAATCACGTGTATATGTAATGCATCAAACTCGGGTACACACTGTTTCCGTTTATTGTCGTGT